GTGTGAGGTTTGTTTAGTTTAAATTGGTCTATCACGGATTAGCCCCACCCACACTGAGCTATTTATGCTTAGTGATGTACAACTCTTTGACATCATTGTGAAGTCACTCCAGGATCTTGAAGCCCTTGTAGAACAGTTACCATGGACTATTGTGTTACTCCATGCTTATTCTTGACAGGGTTTTGCGACAGTTTGTCACTGCCTACTGCAAATAACTTATCAGCAGCCTCTTCTTGCAATTTATATCCCATAGAAAGATTTAAATGTTAATACTCAACCTGTTTGATCTCATTATTAATATACTTGCCTTAGCCACGAAAGTGGGACTTGTACCAAGATCTTCTGGCTCTGAGGCAAGGATGCTAATCTCTGTCACAAGACTTCCTAGACTATTAACTCTAGGTCACCTAATGAGACCTCAAACATCATTAGCTGGAAGCTGCCTGCAAGATTCAGCATTGACCCTCTTGACATTTTCTTAATCTATCTTCTTTTATTCAGTATTGTTTCTGGATTAATTTTCTGTGGGAAAGCGCAATGATAACATTTCTCTCACGCTCCCAGGAGAGAATGTGGCTCCACACAATTCAACCTTTTGGTTAATACAGTAGACTTGTAACCATTATGGCTAAAATCCATCAGCTCACTGGAAAACAGAATATACTGTTATCTGGAGCAATATACTATGCATAGTCCCTCAAGCGAGCTGTAAAAGGAAATGTGGACATTATTTCATGTTTATCTCATCTCGTACCATAGCCCCATGAGAACATCCACCTTAAATTCCATATATGAACATAGCACAACATATGCTGAATGCTGAAGTGCCTTTTAAGAATCCTTTTCCCTTTATCTTCTAAAAAGGTTGGCCCCTTGCTAAATAATGGCTTTATGTCACCCTTGGTACTTCATCCAAGCAGCAATATTCAAAGAGGAATCTAACGTATCAGCAGGCAATTCTACCACTGGAGAAATTACAGTTGAGAGTTATTTTGGGCTTAACCATCACACACAGCTACTGGCCAGCAACAAGAGGCAGAGACCTTGACTGATTTCTGCTCTCTAATGCACACTGCATTTAAGTAACTTAGTTCAGATCTGGGATCAATTTAGGTACCTTTTCTGCTTCGTCAATACATACTCAAAAGCTATGCTCTCCTAGGCAGTCCATTTAGGTTTGTTTGAATTCTTAACAGCTTTGTCTTTCCACCAGCACATTGGGAAAAGGCAAATTCTAATGTCTTACAATCACTTGGCAACAATGATTGATCAGTGGGCAATATTCAATCAAAGTTGACCAATTGGTTTAGTAGAGGGATGTTTTCCTGAATATTTAATCCAAGCAGTGCCTGACCTGGGCACACTAAATACTAACATTTGGTATGAGCAATGGAACGGTAATTTATTGTCTAAATAATGCTGGTCTTAAGGCAGGTAATTTAAGTTAGGATAATGCCCTGTGACTATCAGCAACATTCAAATAACTCATTAAAGTGGCCATCCTTCAAGCAATGAGTGCTGTACAGGATATTTGACCGCGGAAGCCAACACACTGGAGCTCACAATCTTGCCCTTAATAGATGCCTATACTAAAGCACTACCACCAGGGATCACAGAATAGACAGCAGAATTTGGAATGGCTGGAAATTTTTCTTTCATTTGTTCAAGTCGGTTAATATCAGAAACAAAAACAGAAATTGCTGGCAAAGATCAGCAGGTCTGGCAGCATCTGTGGAGAGAAATCAGAGTTAATATTTCAGGTCTGGTGACCCTCAGAACTGATGGTAGACAAGAAAATGTCAGTTTATATACAGAAGATAGGGAGGGGGAAGGGGGTAAGGAATAAGCAATAGGTGGGGATAGAGCCCATAGAGAGAGAACAGTTGGACAGACAAAGGAGTGGATAACGATCTGGCTAGGAGAGTGAACAGCTATTAATGGGGACTGTTAGTGGCTAACAGTGGATTGAATGTAAAAGCAGGCTATATGATAACAAGGTCTTGTGTGTGGGGGTAGGGGCAAGGAAAGTTCAAGTCATAAAATTATGGAACTTGATACTGAGTCCAGAAGGCTATCGGGTCCCCAAGTGGAAATGAGGTGTTGTGCTGAGAATCACTGGAGCGCTGTAACATGCCTGAGACAAAAATATTGGCCAGGGAGTAGGGGTGGTGTGTTGAAGTGGTAGGCAGCTGGAAGCTCAAGGGTTGTTTTGTAGGCAGAACATAGGTGTTCTGCAAAGCGGTCACCCAGTTTACACTTTGTTTCCCCAATGGACAGGAGACCACATAGTGAGCAGCGAATGCAGCAGGCTAGATTGTGTGAAGTGCAGGTAAAGCGCTGCTTCACCCAGATGTATGTTTGGACCCTTGGATACTGAATAATACTGATACTTAATATTAGCATCTCTGAGAGAGGATAAATTTAACAGGTTATGGGTTATATCTGGTAACTTCTTTATGAATGACGTCAGTTTCACGACATGCAGCTTATTTACCAATTAAAATATACATATTTTGGATCTAATGAGTCAAAAATTAATTAGTTATAAACAGCCAATCCTTTTCTGCTCATGGTTGCCTGTTGTAGCAATGTAAAATGAGTGATGAGAAGTAACAATCAGGCATAATTTCTGCCATTAGAGAACTTTGCACACTTTATGGCTCATGATAGTTTTCAGTAACTGCGTCAGTGGTGGTGGAAATACTTCAAATGCATGAATGCTTTTTTTATATATTAATTTGGGTACGTGCAGGAGTTCAGTTTTTAATCACGCCCAGGAGAAATGGATGATCAGGGTTGCTAGGCAGTGTTAAGTATATAGGGGTCACAGAAAGGACACAGCAATGTTAAAGTAAGTGCATTTTAGACATATTCAGTGGAGCAAAGATGGCTGGAATTTATTAGAGATTTTTCAGATTATTAAATGTTTTGAAAGGAAAGAAAAACAATTTCCTGTAACAAGGGATCATTAATTTAAGATTGTCACCAAGAAAGAGAGATTAGTTGAATTTCTTTACACAAAGTCTTGATGAGGCATGCAATTCTTTGTCACAGGGAGTAAAGGGAGAAACCACTGTCTCTATTAAAAGTGAAATACTTAGAGCAGGGAGTGACACAACGGGTCACATGACCTCCAAAAGCACTGAAAACATGTACGGTCGTCTATCTTAACGAAGATCCTATTGCTTTTCCTGCTGGCAATAACTCAAATCATGTTATGCCAACCCTTTAGTAGTACTGAAGGGACATAGACAAGATAAAAGAATGGGCAGTCAAGTGGCAGAGTGGATAGGGAGAAGTAATATAGAGTTCTAAAGAATGTACAGTGACAGAGGGATCTGGGTGCTCATATGCAGAGATCTTTGAAGGAGGCAGGATATTTTGCGAGAAACGTGAGCAAAGTACATGGGACCCCTGGCTTCACAAATAGAGGTATTGAGATAAAGGTGAGGAGTTTAGTTCAACTTTTACAAAAGTCTTTTAAGGCCCCTGCTAGATTATTGCATCCAGTTCTTATCATCACACTTTAGGAAAAATGTGAGGATCCTTCAAAGGATGCTGATGAAATTTACCTGAATGGTTAGATTGAAGAAGCTGAGGTTGTTCACCTTGGAGCCAAGCAATTTTGGGGTGATTTTGACAGAAGTATTCAAGATTATGATAGGAATAGGTAGACGGATAAAGAAAAAGTGTTCCCTCTAATCAATGGCTCATGTACTGGCTGATACTGATATGAGGTTTTTGGCTGGAGATGAAGAGGGAATGTAAGGAAGAACCATTTTGCGTGCAGTTTACAGTAATTATAATATTCTTGATCTTTGTGCTTTTAAAAACATCTGGTGGGCCACGAGGTACGAAATGTATTATCTTTCTTGAAGAAACATCTCAACATGGCCTCACCCTACTGTGAGGTTGCAGGAATGAGCAAAATCATGTGACATTGTATCACTTTCCTTGATTATGTAATCTATTGCATTAGCTTATCACACTTAACCCTTGATATTTTATCTTTCCCCAAGCCTCTGATGCTACCAATTATATTACAGGAATGACCTGGCATTCGCTGTCTGTGAGGGTGTTAGAAACAGAAACTGTAGTGATTGTAATAAGGTCAGCCAGGTGGACCTCATAGAATATGCGTTCCCTGATTGGGGCTGTTAACCTGGTCTAATCAGGGATCCCTGGCTGACAGACATAAATAGGCGTGTCAGATGTTCTGTTCACTCTGGGAGTCAGCTCTGAGCTGGCTGGGTCAGTGTCATGTACTATGCATATGTAAATTACGGGTGACTTGGTGACAAGATACCAGTCATCATGGAGTTATTTTAGTGGTGACAAGAGAAAAACACATCCCTGAAGAGATTTGCTTGCAACAGTCGTCTTTGAGTTGGGTTAAGCATTTCTGGCATCATGCCACTATTTGAGAAGCTTGACACATTCAATTCTGCCATCAAAGACTGGGCCCAGTATGTGGAAAGAATGCATTATATTTTCTGACAAATGATATTGGGGCAGATAAAAAAAACAATGAATAATTCTCCTGACAGCTTGTGGATCCACAGCTTTTTCAGTTATTAGAAGCCTGATGTTTCCTGAAGCACCACTAAAACCTGTCAACAGTCGACAGATTTGGTTAAGGAATATTATGACCCCAAGCCTCCTCTAATTCTGAGACACTATCGGTTTTTCTCAGCAGTTTCAGAACCAGGGAAATCCATGTTGGGATTTATGATGAGGTTAAGACAACTGGCAGAGGCATGTGACTTTGGTTTAACCCTTAATGAGATGTAGAGAGACTGCTTGGTTTGTGGGATTAGTGATGTAACCACACAAAAGTGTCGACTAGCTGCGACAACTGACTTTTTCATTAGAAAATCTAATATGGCAAGTGGAGCATGGCTACAGGGTATGTTGATGAAAGTGGACACCTCACCAGGCCGACAGAGCTTGAAGTACACCACTTGACTGAAGGCAATTGCATAACCTCACGCAGGACATACCTTGAACAGATGGACTCTTGGTCAACCCACAGCAAAATCCCAAAACAAAGCCAAGCCTCGGCCAAATGGTTAATATTTTCTTCAGGATCCGGGCCAGCAAGCCATTGTAGTTGCTGCCAGTATGCCGATGGGAGACAGAAAAGAGTCCCACTAGGCCTGAAAGGAGTAAGACAACTCATAGACAGATATCCCATTGAGTGCATACCATGGAAAATCCACCTAAAGCTGGTTTTGAACAGTTAAATTGCTTACCTACATCCAAATCAGGACCATTCAAAATAAACATCTGGTTAAATGGTCACCCAGTTCTAATGGAGGTAGATATCAGTGCAGCTGTATCAGTGATTGTTGAACCAGTCTTAAAGTTCGCTCTGGACTCCAACCCTTAAGTTTACATATGACCTTGGCCAGGCCAAGAACCTATACTGGGTAACCCCAATATATTAAGGATACAACTTTGGTTCCAGTCTCTTAGGAGAAGCAGCTGGTTCAGTTGCTACTCATTGTAGTAGAAGTCTCTGGCCCAAGGTTGATTTGGTGACATTGGTTGAGAAAAATTCAACTTGATTGTCTCAACATTTCTCAATTAGAAAATAGCTGCCTGACTAAGTCCTAATTAAATACCCGGGGGATTTTCAGGAAGGCCTAGGGACTATCAAAGAAGTCAAGGCACCTTACATGTTGACCAACAAGCAATTCCACAATTCTGCAAGGCCCACCCAGTGCCATTTGCCTTACTTGCAAAAGTAGAGGCAAAAATCAGGAGGCTTGTTTGTTTGAAACAGGGTTGGAGGAACTGGACCTGTTGCAAAAATGGCCTAGGAGAAACTACAGGAAAAATAATGTGCCTACATCCCAGGGGATGTAATGATTGTAATGAGGTCGGTCAGATGGACCTCATAGAATATGAATTCCTTGATTGGGGCTGTTAATCTGGTCCAATCAGGGAGTCCTGGCTGACAGATATAAACAGGAGTGTCAAGGGTTCTGGTCACTCCGGGAGAAAGCTCTGAGCTGGCTGGGTCAGTGTCATGTACTATGCATATGTAAATAAAGGGTGACTTGGTGAAGGGATACCAGTCTTCATGGAGTTAGTTCAGAGACAATCAATTATTTCAAAAAGAAATTTAATAGGCACTTGAGGGCAATAGACTTGCAGGACCACAGGGATAGAGTGGGGCATATGACTGTGGATTGCTATATGGAGAACTGGTGCTGACCCACTGGGCTGAATGGCCTCCTTCTGCACCATAATGACTCTATGAGAAAAAGACATGACAAAATGACCAATTATGGGCATAATTCAATTGTTCGTATGTTTCCATTTTTAAAGGTCTTAAAAGGGCCTGGTGGTTTTGGGTCCTCTTTTGTTGTCATTTATATAAATGATTTGGATGAGAAAATAGAAAGCATAGTTAGTAATGTTGAGGATGACACCAAAATTGGTGGCATAGTAGATAGTGAAGAAGGTTTTCTAAGATTACAAAGGGATCTTGATGAAATGGGTCAATGGGCTGAAAAATAGCAAATGGAGTTCAATCTGGATAAATGTGAGATATTGCATTTTGGTACAACAAACAAGGGTAGGGCTTATACAATTAATGGTAGAGCCTTGGTAGTGTTGTAGAACAGAGGGACCTCGGGGTGCAGGTGCATAATTCTTTGAAGTTGGTGCCACATATGGACAGGTAGTTAAAAAGGCATTTGGGATGCTTGCCTTTATTGCTCAGTCTTTTGAGTATAGGAGTTGGGAAGTCATGTTGACGTTGTACAAGACATTGGTGAGGCCTCTTCTGGAATACTGTGTCCAGTTCTGGTTGCCCAGTTATTATGAAGATGGAAAGGATTCAGAAGAGATTCACTAGGATGTTGCTGGGTATGAAAATTTATAAAGAAAGGCAGGATAGGCTGGGACTTTTTTCACTGGAGTGTAGGAGGTTGAGAGGCGACCTTATAGAAGTTCATAAAATAAAGAGGGGTACAGACAGAGTTAATGTTAGTTGTCTTTTCCCTAAGGTGGAGATTTCAAGACAAGGGGACACATCTTTAAGGTGAGAGGAGAGAGATTTAAAAAAGACATGAGGCAAATTTTTTACATAGAGGGTGGTTTGCGTGTGGAATGAACTTCCTGAGGCAGTGATGGATGTGGGTACAGTTACAATGTTTAAAAGACATTTGGACAAGTATATGAATAGGAAAGGTTTGGAGGGATATGGGCAAGGAGAAGGCAGGTGGGACTAGCTTAGTTTGGGACCATGTTCGGCATGGACTGGTTGGACCGAAGGGTCTGTTTCCATGCTGTATGACTCTATGACTCAAAGACTAACTTGGCAATGATCATAGGGAACATTCTTCTCAGAAAGGCAAATGCAGAGATATGTCATTTGCTCCAATATTACCTGCAGCTGCCATAGCTGTGAAATTGGTAAAGCCAATGATGATAATGGCCCGAAACCTAGCCCCGTTTCCTTGCAGGGATTCCCCAATTATCTATGGGAATAAGATGTGATGTGGCATAAGCTGATGTTGTGACATTTTATAAGCAATCACAAAGGAAACTAAATAAAGGACTACTCAATCACTTGCTGCAAACTAATTTTAGCTTCTTGGGTATCCTTTCCCTCCACTTCTTCCCCTCACTTCTTCAACCTAAGCTAACCTTGGGTTGAGATAACAAAGTGTAGAGCTGGATGAACACAGCAGGCCAAGCAGCATCAGAGGAGCTGGAAGGCTGACGTTTCGGGCCTAGACCCTTCTTCAGAAAACCTTGGGTTGAGATGCTTTTAGGCTCTCCAAATGTTTTTTGTCCTTACCCCTTTAAAGTTCACTACAATGTAATTTTCCAATTCCATCCAAATGTGCACTGTAGCTCTGCTAATAAACTGACCACAGTTCTCAATCACATTATAACACTAATAGCTATTCTAGTCTAAAACATGTCAAAAGTGGAAAATTTAGGCTACGATGTCCATTATCTGATATTCTGTGGTTCCAATAATCTTCCAAATGTTAATAACTTTTATTGGTATAAAAAGTAGAAAGGTTATGTAGCATTATAAGATTAAAACTATTAATAGTACACAAATTGCTTATGTACATTCCAGTGAAAGAGCTGTGACGCCAACTCCATTTATATTATCTGTACATTGGAAATATGAATGTTCCAAATTATTAAATGTGTAATCTTTCAAGCTTCTTATTTTGAGGGTGAAGTAGAAATAAATGATGTGCTTTACTTAAATTCAACTCAGATTATAAAAGGTGTGATCCCTAGGTTGTAATAAGTTTGAAACCCACATAGTGATTTGACTATTCTTACCTGGGGCAAAGGAAGGGAACCTTCAGCATACAGGACTAAAGAGAAATTGAATAATGCTCCTGATTAGTATCTAGCAATCCTTATTGTAAAACATAAATGTGTAAACATGTGAGGACAACAATAGACTTGTCTGTCATGAATTATTGTATGAGTATTGGCTATTTGACTGTTAATTTTCGCCATTCCCTTCATGAAGATGGTGAATTTTTGCTAGGGTAGAGTTCAAGTCATCTAATATCTTGCTTAAGTTAGCTATTATCTTTATGTGAACTTACTACTGGACTCTTAGTAATTTTATAAACATGGTGATAGCATTTGCTCACATTTGGAAAAATATGGACTTATTAGGGATAGGCAGCATAGCTTTGTGCAGGGAAGGTTGTGTCTCACAAATTCAATTGAGTTTGTTAAGAAAGTGATAAAGATGACTGATGCAGGCAGGCTGGTAGATGTTGTCTGTAGGGACTTTAGCAAGGCCTTTGACAAGGTCCCTCATGGCAGACTGATACAAAGATGAAGTCACATGGGATCCACGGTGATCTAGTAAGATGGATACAGAACTGGCTTAGTCATAGAAGACACAGAGTAGGGGTGGAAAGGTGTTTTTTTTCTGTGACCAGTGGTGTTCTGCAGGGATCAGAGCTGGGACCATATTCTATGATTTGGAGGAGAATGTAGATGGCCTGATTAGTAAGTTTGCAGATGACACAAAGATTGGGGACATTGTGGAAAGTGAGGAGGATTGCCAGAAGATACAGCAGGATATAGATAAGTTGGAGACTTGGGTGAAGAAATAGGTGATGGAGTTTAATCCTGACAAATGCGAGGTGAGCATTTTAGAAGATCTAATGCAGAATCTTAATACCATCCGAGGGATCTAGCCATACAGGTCCACAGTTCCCTAAAAATGGCAACACAAATGGCTAAGGTGGTCAAGAAGGTGTATGGTATGCTTTCCGTTATTGGTTGGGGCATATGGTATAAAAATTGTAATTTCATGTTGCAGCTGTCTCGGAATTTAGTTAGGTCATATTTGGAAAATTGTGTACAGTTCTAGTTGCCGCACTATCAGAAGGATGTGAGGCTTTTGGAGAGGGGACAGAAACAGCTTACCAGAATGTTGCCTGGTTTGGAGGTTATTAGATATGAGGAGAAATTGGACAAACTTGGTTTGTTTTCACATGAACGTTGAAGGCTTAGGGGTGCTTGATAGACAGTATGAGAGGCATGGATGAATGGATAGTCAGTCTTTTTCCCAGTGCAGAAATGTTAATTACTAGGGGACATATTTTTAAGGTAAAATGGGGTAAGTTTAAAGGAGAGGGGACACGCAAGTTTTTTACACGTGGTGGGAAGTGCTTGGAATGTGCTGCCAGAGGAGGCGGATACAATAGCAACATGTAAGGGGCATCTTGACATGTATATGAATAGGCAAGGTATAGAGGGATATGTACTGTGTAGAGGCAAAAGGTTTTTAGTTTAGAAAGGCATCATGTATTGGTGCAGTCTTGGTGGGCCAAAGGGCCTATTCCTGTGCTGTTCTTCTTTGTCCTGCTTCTGCTCCTGTTTTCTACGTTTCAATGAAACATCCTGACTTGTGAAATTCTTTTTCCACTGAGCTTTCTGTTTAAAACTTAAAATAGCTAACACGTAAATATAAAATTACATATCTCATGATATTGCTATAAAAAGGCACATTTTGTCAAAGCTTTTTGTCTTGCACCCAGCAGGATATTTCACAAGAATATGAATTCAAGGGGAAAAGCA